GGGGGGGGGGTATAGTTTTCTTTTCTTGAGATGGCTGAGAAGATGCCAGTGGCCAACCCTTTTCTCCATATTTATACCTGACCGTCCTTGGAAGCTAGTAGAATTACTTTTGACGATGAACACGGTTTGCGAAATCAATTTCTTTCGTATCATTATTAGAACTATTGAATGAAAAATAAATTTTAATGTTTGACGAGGTCTACCATTAATTTAAAGATCATAATGAATCAAATTAATAAATAAGATCAAATTTTTATATCTAAATAGCATTAGTCTTATTTTTAAATCACACATGTGCCAGTGGCCATGTCAACTTTTAGAGAGGGCTCACCCGGTAAATGCTGTACTCGTTTATTGGAACAGCTGGTGAGGGTATTTTAATAATTGAAGCAAAATTTTAATATTTTAAAATGATTTATATTATTTCGAGATATTTTGAGATGTTTTCAACAATGTTGTTGAAATATTTTAAAATATTTTAAGACATTTTGACATATTTTGACTAATATTTTAAAAATAATTATTAAATTTTTTATTAATTTTTTGTTCTATTTCTAAAATATTTTTGTACCAAAATAATAAATTAAATAAAATTTTGATTATTGCCTATATATATTAGGCTGAAATAAAATTAAATAAATTGAATTTTTAATTAGTGAAAATAAACTGGTGGGTTTAATAACTTATGAGGTGAATATAGATGGGATAAACTTAGTAGTTTGAAGTAAATAATTAAATGAGGGTGGGAATTGAGATTTAAGGGGTGAAAAATGAGATTTTAGGGGTGGCAATCAGAGGCGGATTTAGGGTAGGAGCAACTGCCCCCACTAAAATTTTAAAAATTTTTAGGACTTAGGTGAATTTTTAAAATTTCAAAAAATTTTGAATCTTGCCCCGACTAAAATTTTCTTAAAGTATAGGCGAAGCTAGTGTAATTTTTAAACCATTAAACATAATTTTGACAACTCACTCATTTCGCGCCTTTTATTAGTCTAGACGCCTTCTTTATTCAAACTTCAGTCTCGGCGACTTTGCCTTTCTTCACAAGCCATCGCTTCTTTCTTTCTTTTGATTTCTTGGAACCTTTACCTTTTGGTATATTCATCAACAAATCGGCTTACTTAGTTGTTGGTATTGGGGTATATAACATCAATTATCTCAGAAAAACCACAAGAACAATACTAAAAAAAAAAAAAAAAAAATGGTGGCTATTTTAGTTGTAGTGTATCACTTTAATTTCAGCACAAAATAAAATATGAACAAAACAAAAATTCTGTTGTAGTGAATCACACAAATTCCACTCCAAAAACTTGTTTATTTCAATTAAAAAATTCAGTATAACAAGATCCAAATACAAGAGAATTATATTTGAAATTTCAGCAATAAATACAAACAAGTATTTTGGATTTATGAATTATATTTTAATTATGTGTAGTACATTATGTCATTCGTTACGAACTTAATGACAAACTATTAAATTTGAATCTATTTAGACAAATTCATATTTTAATCAGTTATGGATAGATTTCTTGTAAGAAAATCAACATTGAAACAATCAACTCCTAGTCAAAAAATAGATGATCTTTTCATGTGAAGTCTTTTTTGTTGTTTTTTTTTTGTACATCGCTCATATATATAAGTTGCAAATCTAAATGCGTTTTTTTTATAGAACTATACATAAAAAAAAAAAATTATTAAGAATATAAGTTTTGATGAAAACAATGTTGCATTTATAATTTAAATTTAATAATTTTAGGTTGCCCCCACTAAACCAAAATCCTGGCTCCGCCCCTATTGGGAATAGTCCCATCCAAAAATTTAGTATTGTATTTTTAACTTTCAATATTTTAAATAGGCATTTTTATAATTTTTTGTGAGTCATTTTACAACAAAAAAAAAATTACCACTTTTGTGGGTAATCTACCATATTTTTTTTGGTATTTTTATCATATTTGTAAATGTTTTTACTGAATTTTTTTATTTTTTTTAGTATTATAATAATAATACACACAATCATAAACATAATAAATTAAGTCATAGTACGAATTTTTGTTTTGGGTACCACAGTCAACGGCCTTTTCAATGTGGACACAAATAGTCTACAAGGATACATAAAATTAGAATTTAGAAGTCCTTGACCAAGAAATGCGAAAAAAATAAAAATTGCAATTCACGTGCCGACACCGCACACAGGTCTCTTAGCAGATCATCATATATTATACAGAGTCTTATTTTACGGATTCAGATCCTCTCCATTACTATTTTTCTTTAATTCCTTTCAATATAATGGTAGATGAGTGATGCGTATAAAATTTTAAATTTCAATAGATAAGATTTTTTTTTTTTTAGAAAATTTTTTAATAATGGTTAACACTTCATCAACAACAAAAATGAATAAGGAAACATCTTATCCATTGCAATTCAAAATCTTACACGTATCATCTATCTAGCATTGTATTGAGAGAAATTGAACAAAATGGATAATGGAGGGGATGTAAATACTTATTTTACATGCTAGAAAAAGTTGTATTTGTGATTCGAAACTTTTTTTACCATTGCGTCTAAGCTCATGGCATGGCGGATGGCACAATTGATGGCACAATTCAAGGAATAGCCCATATGGATTGATTTCTGAGCAACACATGATTTCTGGGTGTCTGTTCATATTACTTCTCGGTGTCTGTTCATACTACTTTTTGGTGTCTGCCCTTGTGTTAAAAAACATGGTTTTTGACTAATTTTGACCAATAATTTGATGACATTAGAATCCAATTCAAAAGTTGAGTCTAAGGGTGATTGAAATTAGGTTATCCAAAGAGTATATGAATATTGAAATCAAAGAAGATGGTATACTGTAGTGGGAGAACTAAGGGGTCAAAATTGGATGGTTGAGCAAAAACTTCTACACTTAAAACCAAAGTCAAACAAATAAAGATTGAAGATGAAGTAGGGTGGAGGAATTCCAGTGGACTCTGACGACAATTTTGGTTTTGTCCGGCCTTTGGTTTGTGCCAAAAGTTCCGTAACGTCCATGCGGAGATCCCAGTAAAATTTCAAGTCAATTCGACGGCCGAATCAAAATGAGGATTAAAATGACTGTTTTACCCTCCAAGGTCAATTTGACTTAGTTTTGAGTGATTTTGAGAAAATAAATTTTATATTAATTCTTAAGTAGTTTAATTGAGTATGTGCACTGAAAAATAACATTGTTTAATTTTTGGTTCTTTCAGATTAAAATACCGAGCGGGTAGGGTTTCTCAATTTCGAAATAAGCAATGCATTTTCAACTTCTTTCTAAATTATTCCATAATTTATTTATGATGTTTTATCATGTTTTGAAATATCTGATTGGGTGTTTTGAATATTAACATGGATCCGGACCCGGATGCAGGGTCTCTGAGTGCGATTTGCATTAATATTTTGGAAATGATCGTATTACTCGTATTGTTTGTATTGAATGAAACTCTGGAATCTTTTTTAATGGAAATATAAGTGCACAAGGTTCGAGTGGTAAAAATGTTTACATTATAGTTTGAGGCCGTAGATGGTACTCATTAAGTTTGTAAATGCTTAGGTGGTCTAGTTGGTCTTCAGAATTGAGTACTGAATTGTTATTAAGGAGTGTATCTTCCTCGGGGTGGAAGTCCCCCAAAAGGTTAGATCGTATGTTCGTATGGACCCTAAGTGGTCTATTAGGATGAATTGCCTACCAGTGTAGCACTATACTTGAATTTATGAACTCTCTTTTACAGTTTTATTTAACTGTTACAGTTTCACATGAAAATGATGTTTTTGCTTACATATATGTATCAATTGCAAGTTTGGATTCTTGCCCAATCATGCTAAACTATACTATTTTCAAACTCGTTTGCTTGGAACTTGAGTTACTCTACTGAGTTGTTGATGTTCACACTACATTACTTTCCCTTTT